GACTCATCTCACAACATATAAAGAAAAACATAAAGCAGAGCATGAATTCTTGTACCCACAAATACATTCGAAATGAGTACATTAGTGGATACACAGATACCCTGCTTAATGGTCAACAGGTCTTATACTGTGTTGAGAGGGAAATAATTTGAATATCAGTTTAAATCTAATCTCCGCACTGAAGGAGGGAAGAAAGGAAGGAAGGAAGGAAGGAAGGAAGGAAGGAAGGAAGGAAGGAAGGAAGGAAGGAAGGAAGGAAGGAAGGGGAAACTAAGAAGAGAGAGAGCAGATCAGGCGCCAGTACGAAAACTAGTTACACAACAGGCATAAAGTCCTGAATGTAATAATTGCTCATTTACAGATTTTATTTTAAGAAATGTACAAAGAAAACATTGCACAATCTAATAAAATTAGAGTTTTTCTCAGTACAGAAGATCACATATGTACAAGCAACACAGTCCATTTGAAACAGAGCAGCTCTCTTCCCACAGCTGTTCACGTGTAAACACAATTGGAAACCCTGTCTCAAATGACACATTTACTGGATGGGTCCCCTGCCCCAGGAGACCTTGAAAACTGAGATGTTCCAACTGGACTGACAACCGAAAAAAAAACCCACTTGTAAAGAGAAGCATTCCCAATAATAAGGTGCTGGATAACATCCCAAAAAACTGCCCAACACACAAACACTTCCTCTGAAGAATTGAAGAAATTGAGAGTAGAAAATGCTTCCCCCTTTTCCCCTCATTTATTTTTTTTTAGAAATGTTCTTTTGTTGAGTGACATAACTAGAAATACGTACTCATTAGCAGCATTTTCTTCTCACTTCTTAAAGATTTGTGCAAAACAACCCAGTTTTCACAGGAAAGCATAGCATGTTCTGCTTGCAAACATTCAGACTTCACATTACTTTTAATCTAATTTTAAAACTATAACCTGAACTATGGTTATGTTTGGATTTTGTATGGATTAAGACTTGAATTACAGAATACGAGCTTGTGGGCCAGAGATGGGCAAAGTACAGCCCTCCAGAATCTGTAGTACTATGACCCCCATCATTTCTAAATAACATAGCCGGATAAGCGGTGGGAGTAGTTTAACATGATCCAGAAGAGTCTATATCAGTAGTTCTCAACCTTCCGAATGCCATGACCCCTTAATACGGTTCCTCATGTTGTGGTGACCCCCAACCATAAAATTATTTTTGTTGCTATTTAATAACTGTAATTTTGCTACTGTTATGAATCACAATGTAAATATCTGCTCTGTAGGGTGTAATTTCATTCACTGGACCAAATTTGGCACCAATATGCCCAAATTTGAATACTGGTGGGGTTGGGGGGTTGATTTTGTCATTTGGGAGTTGTAGTTGCTGGGATTTATAGTTCACCTACAATCAAAGAGAATTCTGAACTCCACCAATGATGGAATTGAACCAAACTTGGCCCACAGAACTCCCATGATCAACAGAAAATACTGGGAGAGTTTGGTGGGCACTGACCTTGAGTTTTGGAGTTGTAGTTCACCTACACCCAAAGAGCACTGTGGACTCAAGCAGTGAAGGATCGGGACCAAACTTGGCACAAATACTCCATATGCCCAAATGGGAACACTGGTGGAGTTTAGGGAAAATAGACCTTGACATTTGGGAGTTGTCATTGCTGGGATTTATAGTTCACCTACAATCAAAGAGCATTCTGAACTCCACCAACGATGGAATTGAACCAAACTTGGCCCACAGAACTCCCATGATCAACAGAAAATACTGGAAGAGTTTGGTGGGAATTTACCTTGAGTTTTGGAGTTGTAGTTCACCTACACGCAAAGAGCACTGTGGATTCAAACAATGATCTGGACCCAACTTGGCCCAAATACTCCATATGCCCAAATGGGAACACTGGTGGAGTTTAGGGAAAATAGACCTTGACATTTGGGAGTTGTCATTGCTGGGATTTATAGTTCACCTACAATCAAAGAGCATTGATAGAATTGGGCCAAAATACCCACACAGAATCCCCATGACTGACAGAAAACACTGTGTTTTCTGATGGTCTTTGCTGACCCCTCTGAAACCCCCTCGTGACCCCCTTAGGGGTTCCGACCCCCAGGTTGAGAAACACTGGTCTATATTCTCAATTGTTGGCTTTGAGACTGTTTTTGATGTATGGGATAAGCTCAAGAATTGTCAATTAAGAAACAAAGACAGGGTTCCTCATTTTGTAAATGCAATTAATGAGCAAAACCAGTTTTCTGAGCGGTAAAGAGAAAGAGAAATATCCTACACTGAATGCACACAAACCAGCTGTGTGGGGTGATAATAGGAAGCCCATGTTAAGTTAATGGATAGATAGTACAAGTATACCCTCATAAAGGGGATCCTATAAGGTTTTCTATGTGTTCTTGGTTTGTGGACCATATTTCAAGTATGTAATATACATGCTAACTGCAATCTATATATTTTTTCTTTCAGAGAGCAAGTTCAATTTCCCTCTGGTCTACTCTTTAAATGACATGCAAATTTCCATCTAAGTCCAGTTCTGATTTTCTTGTTTTCCCATCCTTCCATGTTTCCAGCACCTTGCAAGTTTATTTAATAAGATGATCACCTTCTATAGTAAAATCCCATCTGCTGCGGGGAAGAAATACAGGTAGTTTAGTGATGTCGTAAGGAGAGGAGGTGGTTTAGTAATGTCACAACTGGGCCAGAGAAAAATAGTTGTGTATAGTGGGTTCCAGTAGAAATGAGCAGAACCAACACCTCTTGAGTTTGATATATGGATGAAGCAGGACACGGCCACTCTAATCATGCATATTTAATCATGGACACACATTACTTATTCAACAACACCAAGACAGATGCCTTGCCCTTACAAGGACAAATCCATGTCCAGTGTCTTTTGGAGTGTCCATCTTGCTGGTTTTATTTGTAGTTGCTCAGGAAACCTTCTCTAGGGGCTGATAGGAATAGCTGATTTGCATATATATATATATATATATATATATATATATATATATATATGGCTGTGTGTGTATTGCAGAGTATTTTTTTTAAATTTTAAACTATTACATTTGGCCCGGCCATAGGTTTTTAAATCCTTATATGTTATTGCTTATTGTTTATATGCCATTTATATTAATATTAATTTATATCATACGAAAGCTGACTGGCACAACCTGGGGATCACAACCAGATACAGTGAAGACATCTGCCCTTGCGCTGTGCTACTCTGCTGCTGAGTAGCATGCCCAGTGTGGAACACATCTCACCACACTAAAACAGTGGATGTGGCTCTTAATGAGACATGCCGCATTATCACGGGGTGTCTGCGCCCTACACCACTGGAGAAATTACACTGCTTAGCCGTATTGCACCACCTGACATCTGCCGGGAAGTAGCAGCCAATAGTGAAAGGACCAAGGCAGTGACATCTCCAGCTCATCCCCTGTTTGGGTATCAGCCAGCACGTCAACGACTTAAATCAAGAAATAGTTTTCTAAGATCTACAGAGACACTCGCTGGAACACCCCAGCAAGCGAGAGTCCAAAAGTGGCAGGCTCAAACCCAGAACCTCAACCAATGGCTGATACCAAATGAGAGACTCCCCCCTGGGCACACAGAAGACTGGGCGACTTGGAAGGCGCTGAACAGACTGCGCTCTGGCACCACGAGATGCAGAGCCAACCTTCAGAAATGGGGCTACAAAGTGGAATCCTTGACATGCGAGAGTGGAGAGGAGCAAACCACTGACCACATGCTGCAATGCAACCTGAGCCCAGCCACATGCACAATGGAGGACCTTCTTGAAGCACTCCAAGTGGCCAGATACTGGTCAAAGGACATTTAATCAACTACCAAACTCGCAGATTTTGTATTCTGTATTTTTGTATTTTGTCTGTTTGTTTGCTTTGTTCTGTTAGAAATGTAATATAATTGACTGGTTGCTGATGACTCGATAAATAAATTTATATTAATTGCATAGCATTGTATTGTTTTTGTTTATTGCTTTCTTGTATTGATGTGTTGTTGGGCTTGACCTCATGTAAGCCGCTCCGAGTCCCTTGGGGAGATGGTGGCGGGGTATTAATAAAGTGTTATTATTATTATTATTATTATTATTATTATTATTATTATTATTATTATCTCAAAGATAGCATGGGATAAACAGGCCAAAGAAGTCAAGGACCCTGTTAAAATTGGAAGACATTCTGTTTTTAACACACTGTGTTTATCCATTATTTTTCTTAATTTGACTCCATGTGGCTGAGAACATAAACAGCTCAGTTGCAGCAGTACAAGAACATCTCGTACAACTGCAGCTGAAACAAATGAAGGTTGCATAAGACTCCCTTGCTTTTGCACAGAAACTATTAATTTCAGTAGGGAAAATTTCTTGTATGCTGCACCGTAGCTGTTTGTGCTTTCAGCCACGTGGAGTCAAATTAAGAAAGAGGAACCATCTTATTGGAACATCTAGATGCCAGTTCCTACCTTTCAGGTATTGTTATGCACCATACCAGCATGGTGCATGGCTATTTTTTTTTTGGCGTGTCAGGAGCGACTTGAGAAACTGCAAGTCGCTTCTGGTATAAGAGAACTGGCCGTCTGCAAGGACATTGCTCAGGGGATGCCCAGATGATTTGATGTTTTTATCATCCTTGTGGGAGGCTTCTCTCATGTCCCCGCATGAGGAGCTGGAGCTGATAGAGGGAGCTCATACGCCTCTCCCTGGATTTGAACCTGCGACCTGTCGGTCTTCAGTCCAGCTGGCACAGGGGTTTAACCCACTACGCCACTGGGGGCTCCAACAGTGCATGGCTAATTATGTATAATAAATGTGTGAAGTCCAGACTTCTATACCATCCCTGTCCATTGTATGGCAGGAAAGGAGGGCAAAATAAAGTGTGAGGTTTCTGAAGGTGGGAGATGACAACAGCACATACAGTATCCTAAACCATAGCTGTGATGTGCCATGAAAGAAGGAAAACAGCAACACGGCAGATATAGAAATGTGCAGTTTGTATTTATAGATATTCTGCAGAATTGAGAATTAACCCGGAAACATTTCAAAGCTGACGGTAAACCCTGAGAACTGATTAGTTTGTTGCTTTTTGCTCTTGTCTTGTCTTTAATAGTGTACAAATGGTTAAGACTGACTTGTACTTTAAACCATGCCTAACAAAAATGGTTTAAGACCATTCAAATACCCCAAAGGGAACAACCAAACCAAGTTTTTAAGACTTTGCAGATTTGTGTTCAGAAAACAACATTCCATTATTTCAATATTAACCATCACTGTGCCTTTACATGCTGGAAAGATTCCTAAGCCAAAGCACATCAGTCCGTTACCAGAAAATAAGATTAGGAGATTTTAAAAAACCCCAAAACTCCGTTGTATCCAGTTCCAAATGTCCAAGGAACAGTGCAGGTTGCAATTTTTCACTCCTAGTATCTTCAAGACACAAATAGTAAATAGAAAGAAAATGGCTGAAGATGACATTTTAATCATATTTCAAAGTATGTTACTAATAGTGGTTAGATGTCTGAATATTCTGCTTTCCATGATGATCAAGTGCACTTTCTGCAAAACAACAGACATGAGGTTTGGGCAGTGAATTCAGCAACTTTAGAACTTGACCTTTTTTTTGATAAATTGAGATATTCCAAAATTTGATGAAATCTCAGAAGTGATGTATATTGTAGTCACTTGTGCACAATCATGGTGGCAAGGCTTCAGAGTTTCCCGTGACTAGCAGAATAAATTATGTAAGATACGCAGCCACAGGAAAATTGTATAATTGATTCAGGCCATAAAATCCAGGCTTTTGTGGGTGAATGATTGTTCTTTTATTGTATAAAGTATACAACTTCAGTTATGTTCCTCTGACACGATCTTCCATTTCCATATATTAGCTTGGCTCTCTGATCAAGACTCACAGCAGTGATCAAGACTCATAGCTTTGGCCATTTTCCTCTCTTTTTCATCTTCTTCCTAAACTTCTTCAAGCTCTAATAGGGAAGAATTAACCTCAGAACTGGCCCAGGAACACGCTAAGAATCACTTAAAATTAAACTAAAACCCCCTTTTTGTCACCAGCATTAGAGATAATTCATATTCACCTCATTAAAAAAAATATTTCAGCATTGTGGTGAATTAGAAAAGTAGAAACCAGAATAGGTTCTACTTCCAAAGTTGATCTGAATTCCTGAAATCTGTTAAGAGAACACAGCTCCTGATAGCAGAAAATATGGAAGGCTCCTTGTGAGAGAGATGTAAAATAAGTCCTTTTGGAATCAGGGCCAATTTATTGTTGGCCAGAAGTGCCCTGGATTATACAAATGACTCTTTTACACCACGTTTGGTGGCTTTCGAGTCTTGAGTTTTGCTGGGAGCATCTTCTGTTGTTTTGTCAGGTTCCTCCCCTTTCTCTTTAGTTTCACCAGCATCTTGTGTGTTCTCTGGACTGGAGATGGGTTCAAGTTCAATAGGTGGAGATGCTTCTGGAGATATTTCATTTTCCATTTGCATCTCTGAAGATCCATACATTACATTTATTCTGTTTGCAATCAACCCTTCTTTCTCTGGAGCTCCTTCTGCCAGTGTATCCTCATCTTGGCTATGTCTGTACACGTACGAGGCCTGTTTCACTGATCGCCTTAGTAGATATCTTCGGAATGCCCGTTGGATTTTGGTGGCACATACTTCTTCATGCTTCCTTTTCAGTGTGGTGGTAATTGGCTCATAGGACACCTTTGAGGGGTTGGCAGCCATAAATTTCTCCTCCATTGATTCCTTCAAGGCATCCATTTCCCCAGAGTCCCCCAACACTTCTTTGGTAAGTGCAAAGAGGATGTCCAGACAATGTATTTTATCCCCAGGAACCATAGGCAAGTCCAAGGTGATCAACTTGATCTTGTTGGGTTTAGCAATTCGCAGTGGCTCTTGCAACGTGTCTGCAAATTCAGAGAGAGTGCTATAAGCAATGAACTGTGTGGCATCAGGGTCAAACTTCTCCCACGTCTCGTAGAACATTTCAAAGTCATCTTCACAGAGAGGCTCACTGCTCTCCTCTGTGGCTACGTTGAAGTTCTCCAGGATGATAGCAATGTACATGTTGACCACAATCAAGAAGGAGACAATGATGTAGGTGCAGAAAAAGCAGATGCCCACACCAGGGTTGCCACAATTCCCCCTCACATCACTACCAGGGTTCTCCAGATCAGGGTCACAGTCTGGAGGAGCACTGTTCAGGATGGGGTTCAGTAAGCCATCCCAACCAGCGGATGTGGTGATCATGAAAAGGCAGATGATGCTGTTGCCAAATGTCTCAAAATTAAACATGTCATCAATGCCAGATTCCTTTTTGACATAAGCAAAGTTCGACATCCCAAAAATGGAAAAAATGAACATGACCAGGAAGAGGAGCAGGCCAATGTTGAAAAGTGCTGGCAGGGACATCATCAAGGCAAAGAGAAGCGTCCGGATGCCTTTGGCTCCTCGGATCAGTCGGAGAACACGTCCAATTCGAGCTAGACGGATCACCCTGAAGAGGGTGGGTGACACAAAGTACTTCTCAATGAGGTCTGAGAGGACAAGTCCTGAAAGAAAACCAGTAAGTTGTTAAATCTTGTCCAGAACCCTTTCTCTCCTAAGGACTGAAATGCAGACTTTAAATTTTATTAACAGTCTACTCATAATTTCATTATCATTGTACAAAAAATATGTTTTTTCCCCCAAATTATTTTTATTGAGAATAAGTTGTCTCTGAAAGAATGGAGTGTGAGAAAGCTATAAAATCATGATAGTTCTACAGCAAAAGTGTGAGAACAATATATGAAAGAAAAGTAGGAAAGGGAAAAGTATTTTTTTGAGGCCCTGGACACCTCAAAAATGGCCTTGTGGCAAAAAGACATAGGTCATAGCATACTGTTAAAAGAATGGGAAGAAATCTGGAATACCAAAATAAAATATATGGAAGCTAGTGACCTACGTGAAAATTGGTATACGATGTTCTTCCGATGGCACTATACACCTGAAAAACTAGCCAAATTTAATAAAAACATCTCAAATAGTTACTGGAAGTGTGGGAAGGAAAAGGGAACCTTTTATCATCAGTGGTGGTCCTGTAGACAAATAAGAAAGTTTTGGAAGGAGATACACCAGGCATCTCAAAAAATTTTAAAGACCAACTTTCCACAAATGCCAGAGACATATTTGTTAGGAATCACGAATGTGAAGCTGGATAAGAACCAAGAAAAAGTGCTTTTCTTGCTCAGCACAGCGGCAAAGATACTCCTTGCCAGAATTTGGAAGCAAAAAGAAATTCCAAACCTGGAAGAATGGATATTAAAAATCTTTGATATTATTCAAATGGACTGCCTTTCGCAAAGATTAAAAGGAACACATAAGAGGACAAATTGGACTGGGTTTAAAGACTTTATCAAAACCAGGGAGGTCCCACTACAGATAGACCTGTCTAGTATTTGAGCTAAGAAATTAAAGGAAGTATTGTCGGCAGAAATAACAAGAAACCATGAGATGAAGATTCCCGGTAGACTATTGGGAAGTAACGCAAAAGAATGCGGGGTTTTTTTTTTCTTTTTCCTTTCTTTCTTCTTCTTTCTCTTCTCCTTTCCAAATCTGGTTCACCCCCCCCCCCCACTTTCTTTTTACCCCCTGAATTTCACTCCCTATTGTGTGTATATATATGTAAAACTTAATAAAGATTATACAACAAAAAATGGCCTTGTGGCCACATGGGGCTTGTGGACACACTTTACCCACCTTTGTTCACTGAAATAGAAACATTTTGGTTAGCTGCAAAATGAGGTCCCTCAGAAAGAAATTATAATTATAATCATAAAGTATAATTCTTCTACATTTTCCCACTACAAATCTGTCTTCATTTTAATACTTCTAACTATGCTTACTAAGATTTTTTTTTAAAAAAAGAAGGAGACTATCAAGTGCTGAATTTGTCTCATATTTTTCTTACCTGCGATGGAAAGAATGACTACAACAAAGTCAAAGATGTTCCAGCCAACTGTGAAGAAGTAGTACCGCAGGGCAATCATCTTGAGGAAACATTCAGCTGTGAAGACGACTATGAAGATCAGATTGATTTGGAAGAGGATGTCTATTTTGGTTTGGCTTTGGTCATCTGTTTCCACCATCATTGTCACCATGTTAAGACAAATGAGGATCATGATGACTATATCAAAGGCTTGTTGGGTCACAAAGTCAAAGATCATTCCTTGATATTTGTTCTTTAATAACATAGAAGGCATGCGTGGGGTGTGAGAAAAACACAGGACAAGACAAAATGGACAAAGACAAACAACAGTGGGAGAAAAAAAAGAGAAATGGAAAAAACGCTTATAGACTGTTCAGATGGGTGAAGTAATGGGGTAATTTCAAATCATATGGTACAGAAACAAATGAAATACTATCACTGAATCTGCATTTATTGAGTTTTAAAAAATTCTTTGTATTTTATGATTTCTTCTTTTTTGTTATTTTGTTTATTAAGTTACAGTTAGGTTGTTCTATATTGTTTAATGTGCTTTGTCTTGATGTAAATTGTTTGAATGGTTTTATTTTTGGCATTTAATGTTTGCCATATTTGTTGGAAACCACCCTGAGTCTCTTCGGGGAGATAGGGTGGTCTATAAATAAAGACAACGGCAACGACGATGACTCGTGTGGTATACCTAATCAGAGTGTGGATGGCAGAATGGAACCATTTGCAAACAAACCTTGCCCAGACATGAATTTTATTGGGTGACTTTATGCATGTCTTTAAGGCCACATCTACACTACTTAAGTTGGGGTAGAGACGGATCAGCTCTATGGTAGCCAAACGCTGATCCAGGATAATGCGAGGCAAGGCCAACCAATCATTTTGAAAGCATACAATGCAAGTAGATCAATAGGTGCCACCTCGATGGGAAGGTAAAAGGGCGCCCATGAAGACATGGAAAATGGAACAAAAGCATCTCCCCATGGCCAGAGTTGAGCATCGCCTCCAGATGCCAGTAATGAAAATGGGTAAGGCCTTTACCTTATCTGTGTATTGTATGTCGTTGTTTGTGTAAAAGGCACTGAATGTTTGCTTTATATGTATACTGTAATACTGTTTTTTACTCTTTTAATGAATGTTTTATTTATTGTTTTAATTGTTATTATATTGCTCTGTTATATGTAGCAGCATCGAATGGCTGCCAAATGAAAACCATCCTAAGTCCCCCTTTGGGGGTTGAGAAGGAACGGGATAGAAATACCAGAAATAAATAAATAAAATAATAAATAATCTGCTCTGAGTCCCTCTGGTGAGATAAAGCGGAATATTAATAAAGTGTATTATTATTATTATTATTATTATTATTATTATTATTATTATTTTACTGACACAAAAGCACAGTATGTCACAGCAAACGAGATATATATGTTGGATTTTGTATCACAAAATCACAAGTCCAACGCTTCCTAAGCGTCTATGACTGTGTAATGTATTTTCGAATGATGCGCACAGATCCAAGTAAGGTGGCCTTTTGCAGTTGACAGATCGTGATTTTGTTGATGTTTATTGTTTCCAAATGCCGGCTGAGATCTTTTGGTACGGCACCCAGTGCACCAATGACCATTGGGACCACATGTACTGATTTATGCCAGCGCCTTTGCAGTTCGATTTTGAGGTCTTGATAGCGTCTGAGTTTTTTCTGTTGTTTTTCCTCAATGCGACTGTCACCCGGTATGGTGACATCAATAATCCAGACTTTTTCTTTTCCACAATCGTGATGTCTGGTGTATTGTGTTCCAAAACTTTGTCAGTCTGGATTCAAAAGTCCCACAGTATTTTTGCATGTTCATTTTCCATGACTTTTGCAGGTTTATGATCCCATCAATTCTTTACTGCTGGCAGGTGGTACTTGTGACATTAATAATAATAATAATAATAATAATAATAATAATAATAATAATAATAATTACCCAAAGTCAGGAGAACATCCAAATTCAGACTCTCCACTGACTTTGGATTTGTGGAAACAGTTCCTAATGTTTGAGGAGCAGTGGAGGTGGCAATTTTTCACTGCTGGTGTCTTCAAGGCACAGATAGGAAATGGAATACAATGGCTGAAGATGATATTTTAACCATATTTCAAACTATGCCACTAATAGATGTTAGTGGCTAGATTTCTGAAAATTATGCTTTCCATAATCAGGTGCACTTTTCACAAAACAGCAAATGTGAGGACTGGGTGCTGAATTCAGCAAATATAGAATTAAAGCTTTCTTTAATAAATGAAGAAATTCAAAAGTTTGCAGGAACACCTGATGAAATCTCGGAAGTGGGGTGTATTACAGATGCGTGTAGTATATAATTATCATATATTATATATATTGTAGTATATAATTATATAATTTTAAAAACCCACTTTGGTGTGCATTTCTGGCCTGTCTGGAAACGCCCTTATCCTTCCCCAAACTGGCCCTGCCTGGGACCCAATGTAGGAATACTTGCTCATTTGTCATGTTGATAGCCCTGAAGATGGATTCATATGTTGGATCTGCCAAATCCCATTACCACGAGGAGGTCAATATTGGACTATGCAGCCCTGATTCTGATCTCCTCCTTTGGTATACAGAGGTCTGCATATTTTGACTCTAAACTTGGTTGTAAGTGCATAATACAGTTCATTTCAGCTTTTACTGCCACCTTGTGAAATTCTGGAATTTGCAGTACAGAGATTATTTAGAATTCTGTGCAAAAATACTCAAGTGCTTCCCCAAACAGCATGTCCGAGGGTCCCATAAGGTGGAGTCATGTGTAGTGTTGTAACTGGGTACTGAACTAAAGGATATTTATATACAGTATAAACAGAGGCAAAATGTGTGAGGGATGGAAACTTTTTCATGCACCTGGAAGTTGAGCTTCAAGAATGGCATACCTGGGGCCTTGGGATAGGCTTCACTGGCTTTTTTGAACCCAATTTCTTCATAGCATTATAGTATTTCTTTTGCTCTTCTGTCATAAAAATGTCCTTTCCTCCAAAGTAAAAAAGGGAATAATCATTATTAGACTTGGGTTGAAACTTCTTAATTGCTATATCCAAGAGCTATGCAAAACCTCCACAATCTTTTCCCTCCTCCACAGGCTTAATTTGAACACATATAAGATGATTGCTCATTTCTGAGGCTCAGTTATTAGGCATGTGCAATCCATGGTTCTAAATCAAGGGTCCCCAAACTACGGCCCGCGGGCCACTTCCGGCCTGCCAAAGGCACTTATCCGGCCCGTGGTGGAGGAGCGCCCCCCCCCCCACGCAGTGCCCCTCCCTTGGCTGGCTCATGCTATCCGTCAGGCCCAATGGGCAGCATGAGCCAGCCAAGGGCAGCTGCTCCGCACGGCCTACTCATGCGTAAAGCATCTCGCAAGGTGTTTTACTCGCAAGTAGGCCACGCGGGGCTGCTCCTCCCTTGGCAGACTCACGCTATCCATCAGGCCGATGGGCAGCGTGAGCCAGCCAAGGACAGCTGCTCCGCATGGCCTACTCATGCGTAAAGCACCTCGAGAGGTGCTTTACTCGCAAGTAGGCCACGCGGGGCTGCTCCTCCCTTGGCAGGCTCACGCTATCAGTCAGGCCGATGGGCAGCATGAGCCAGCCAAGGACAGCTGCTCCGCATGGCCTACTCACACGTAAAGCACCTCGAGAGGTGCTTTACTCGCAAGTAGGCCACGCAGGGCTGCTCCTCCCTTGACAGGCTCACGCTGCCCATGGGCCCGATGGGCAGCGTGAGCCAGCCAAGGGAGGCTGCCCCGGCGCTCCATGCAGTCATGCCGGCCACATGACCTTGGAGGTGTCTACGGACAACGCCGGCTCTTCAACTTAGAAATGCAGATGAGCACCACACCCCAGAGTCAGACACGACTGGACTTCATGTCAGAGGAAAACCTTTAACTAGGAAAATTGTGGAAGATCCAGGGTGGGAGAAAGAACTCTTGTCTGTTGGAGGTAGGTATGAATGTTTCAATTGGCCACCTTGATTAACTTTTTCATAGCCTGACAGTTTTTAGGGAGAGAATCCTTTGTTGAGAGGTGATTAGCTGGCCCTGAATGTTTCTTGTCTGGAGTTCCCCTGTGTTTGAGTGTTGTTCTTTATTTACAGTTATAATTTTAGAGTTTTTTAAAATACTGGTAGCCAGATTTTGTTCAGACTAGAAATAGGAAGATTTCCCATTCTCTGCTCCTGGAATTACTGCCTAAAGAGGGCTAGAAAGAACCCCCTCTAAGGGCCCTTCCACACAGAAAAATAAGATATGTGCAATGTGCATAGGATTTTTTTATTGATTTTTTTTAAAAAAAAACTATAGTCCGGCCCTCCAACGGTCTGAGGGACAGTGAACTGGCCCCCGGTTTAAAAAGTTTGAGGACCCCTGTTCTAAATGGTTCTAAAGTACTTACAAAACTAAAGCTCTGGTGGTGAAAACTAGGGGACGCTGGTGCTTTGCTTCTCCAGTGTTGCTAAAGTTCTGGTGGTTAAACTTTCAGAACTCTAACACAACTTTCAAAATTTCATTATAAATGGCAGTTCCTAATAGGTTCTGTCATAAAAATCACCAATAATGAAACAATAATGAAATTTTGAAAGTTTTGTTAGCGTTCTGAAATTTTCACCACCAGAACTTTAGCAACACTGGAGAAGCAAAGCACCAGCGCCCCCTAGTTTTCACAACCAGAACTTTAGTTTTTTAAGTACTTTAGAACCATTTAGAACCATAGATTGCACATGCCTATCAGTTATGGTAGCTTTACTTGGTCACGAGCATATTCACATTGTAGAATTACAGCAGCTTGACAGTGTCTTAACTGCTATGGCTCAGTGTTGTGGGTTTCTGGGATTTGTAGTTTTGTGAGATAGTTATCCTCCGAGAGTTCTGGTGCCACAAGAAATTACAAATGCCTGGGCTCCATAGTTAATGCCAAACTGTATAATTCAGCAGTGTGGATGATCTAACTTTATGTTTTTCTAGAGAATCAATTTACCCTGCATCTGTGGTTAGCAACCATCCGGCTTGTGCATGTGTGTGTTTAATTTCCTTTGTGGTTTGCATTCTGTCACTTAACAGCAGAAGCATCAAATTCTGTTCTAATGAGTGCTTGGTAATTCTTTTTAGCCTAATCTGTAGGGGCACCCCACATGTTTCCTCAGCTGGGGGATAAATATTAACTACTGTATATACTCAAGTATAAGCCTAGTTTTTCAGCCCCCCTTTTAGGCTGAAAAAGTTCCCCTTGGCCTTGGTTATTTATTATTTTACTCTGTTATTAGTATTATTTCTATTACATTTATTATTTTACTCTATTATTATTATTATTATTATTATTATTATTATTATTACATTTACATTATTTTACTCTATTATTATTATTATTATTATTATTATTATTACATTTACATTATTTTACTCTATTAATAATATTATTATTATTACATTTACATTATTTTACTGTATTATTATTTTTATTACATTTATTTTACTCTATTACTATTACATTTATTATTTTACTCTATTATTGTTTGTTTTTTTATATATAATTTTTTATTAGTGATTTTTCTTTGACAACAATAAAAACGGGGTTGGGGGGGGGGAGTTTGGGAAAGGCGAGGGGGTGTGTGAAGGGATGAATGGGGAAAGCCAGGGAGGGGGGGGGGGGGGGGGGGGGGGGGGGAGGGGGATTCTTCCGTCTCTCTTCATATAAACATTTCCAGTAGGAATTTCTTTCTTTTCTTCTTTATCTTGGTAGTGGGTCAATATAGATTAGGATTCTTTATTGTTATTATTGTTATTGATGTTATTGCTCTATTACTGTAAGTACTTTGATGTTATTACTCTATTGTTATAGGTACTTTGTTTTCTTTCAGCTAGGTATTTTTACTCTATTATTGTTATTATTACATTTATTACTTTATTATTACCATTATTATTAAATTTCCATTATTTACTCTCTTATTATTTTTATTACATGTTATTGCATTTATTATTTTACCTATTATGGTAAGCACATTTACATTGAAGGAGGTTAGAATAATGGTTTACTTAAAGTTGGTCAGTCTTATCGTAAATTACAGTTTTATGTAAATACTCAAAAACATTTAACCTCCTGATGAGCTACATTTCTCACCTTCAGCTTATATTCGAGTCAATACGTTTTTCCAGTTTTTTGTGATAAAATTAGGTGCCTCGGCTTATATTGAGGTCGGCTTATACTCAAGTGTATACAGTATGTGCTTTCCCATTGAAGATTTTTTTTTATTTCTCAAATAACTGCACTGTCTGAATCAGGACCTAGACATGGGGCATATGAGGTGCTTTGATTCTTAGGTCCCTACTGGGACCCCAGTTCAGATTTTGAAAGCCTTCTAAAAACTGTTCCAACTCCAATAGCATCTGCTTTCTTAGTATGTGGATAGCAATTCTGCAGTAGGAAGCCAAAACCAAGAATTGCCTTGAGATTTCAGAATTCAAGGGAAGAATACTGGCTAGGAGGCCAAAGTTAATCCTCTCTGCATCTTGGGAAACATTGCATGCCAAAGTGAAAACCAACCTGGTCCATTTCCTGACCTGCTTCTCTAGCTCTCTGTCAGTCCACACCTGTTTAGACTGCAAAGATAAGCCTATTCTAGTCCTACCAGGCCCGTAGCCAGGATTTCGTTCGGGGGGGGGGGGGGGCTGAATTTTTTTCAGGGGGGGTTTGGGGGGGCTGAGTTTCGGGGGGGGGGCTGAGTCTGAGTGAAAGAGGGTCTAGCCTAGCAAACCTTTTTTATCATTACCCCAATACCCCCATGCATATGGGATATATTGAGTATGGTGATCAGATCATGATATGAATAAACATAACAGTTTAAATAATGCACCAGTAAGGCCTTTTCGCGAAACACCATGAGAATTTCGGGGGGGGGGGCGGACGCCCCTCCACCCCCCCCCCCCCCCGGCTACATGCCTGAGTCCTACCCATCATCTAGAGCAGTGGTTCTCAACCTGTGGGTACCCAGGTGTTTTGGCCTACACACCCAGTTTACCAGCTGTTGGGATTTCTGGGAGTTGAAGGCCAAAACATCTGGGGACCCACAGATTGAGAATCACTGATCTAGGGTTGCTGGGTGGAGTGGATGTTTGCCCCCCCCCCCCCCAATTATTAATTACAAGCAGTTGGGAAAATTATTTCATCAAAAGATGGCCTACACATCTTCAAAAGGAATAAATGATAAATAAGAGACACTTATCTTTTTCTTCTGCTGGTTGAAGTTGTCGATGATGACACCAATAAACAGATTGAGAGTGAAGAAAGCTCCAAAGATGATAAAGATGACAAAGTAGATATACATGTAGAGATTGATTTCATATTGAGGTTGTTCCTCCATCTGGGGTGGCAAAGAAGGGGTTGAGAAGAAACCATTAACTTGTGACCAGCATTCCCACCCCCATGTCCTTGCAGACCAAAGCTAGTTACACCTATAAGAGGATTACATGACACGCAAATCAGCTTCCCATGTCCATATTACCTCACGGGAGTCAACGGCTGCATACATGATGTCCATCCAGCCCTTGAAGGTAGCCTACAAGGGAAAAAGACACAGAAAAACAGATCCATCATGGCACTGGGGTACAGAAGTGAGATGGAATCAGACACAGAGAGATTCCACAAAATTCAAGCACAGTGTCTCAGGAAACTTTATTCCCCAACTAGAGTTCTGAAAAGTAACTTTTTGAGACAACGACTAAAAGAATTTCCAGTTTGGTTTGGGGAATTAAATTGTCATCCCAAAGTAGTGGTATTTCAAAATATCAGAACAGAAATGAAAGCAGGCATGCTTACCACTTGCAAAAGTGAGAGATAACCCAGGCCCACGTTGTCAAAATTGACCTTGACGTTGAGCCACCGAACATCTGTGGCATTTTCAAAGTTAATGAGGTTCAAACAGTCGGTCTTGTTGTTGATTTCACTGATTTCAAAGAGTTCACCCGTGGTAGTATTGACACAACGATAATACTTCCCTGCAAAGAGGTTGACCCCCATGATGCTGAAGATGAGCCAGAAAATCAGGCAGACCAAGAGGACGTTCATGATGGATGGGATGGCCCCTAGGAGGGCATTTACAACCACCTAGCATCCAGAGGGAAAACATGTTTGGGATTTAACAAAAGTGATTTTGAAACCTTCTTTCCCAACAAATGCAGTCTAAAAACTAGACTTGATTCACAACTGACTGCTTGGGCTTAATGTTGTTGCTAGATTACAATTTGTAGAAGCTGTGGCTATTGTCCATTATGGCTGGGGATTCTGGGAACTGATGATATCTGATGATTTTCAGACGAAAGACACTGTTATAAATAATTCAAAGTTTCCACAGAATAGCTTTTACTAAGAAATAAGATTCACCAGGGATGACTGCATAACGTTGCTTTCTGTATCATAAAGGGAAATGAGATTAGGTTCATCCAAGCGGGTCAAAAGGTCTACCAATTTGGTGCAAATTGTACTTGTATTTGTTAGGATATATATATATATATATATATATATATATATATATATATATATACACGCACGCACGCACGCACGCACATGTGTGTTTGTGTGTGTGTATCTATCTATCTATATAAATAAAAATGTAATGTTCGTTTGTGGTATTCACGGAACTCGAAAACCACTGGGGGAATTGACACCAAATTTGGACATGATGCACCTAACAACCCAGTGTATGTCCTTCACTCAAAAACATTGATTTTGTCATTTGGGATTTGTAGTTGCTGGGATTTATAGTTCACCTACAATCAAAGACCATTCTGAACTCCACCAATGATGGAATTGAACCAAACTTGCCACACAGAAAATACTGGAAGGGTTTGGTGCGCATTGACCTTGAGTTTTAGAGTTGTAGTTCACCTACATCCAGAGAGCACTGTGGACTCAAACAATTTATTTTTATTTATTTACGATATTTATATGCCGCCCTTCCCACCCCGAAGGGGACTCAGAGCGGCTTACAAGGTATATATACATACAATATATTATTAACATAATACAATATCAGTTTTAAATATTGCTATATTGCACTATATCAATTATACTGTAATATTATTAGTAATATTACATGTAATATAAATATATAATTATAATTACATGCAATTATAAAAACAGTGATGGATCTGGACCAAATTTGGCATGAATACTCAATATGCCCAAATGTGAACACTGGTAGAGTTTGGGGAAAATAGACCATGACATTTGAGAGTTGTAGTTACTGGGATTCACAGTTCACCTACAATCAAAGAGCATTCTTAACCCCACGAACAACAGAATTGGGGCAAACGTCCCACACAGAACCCCCATGACCAACAGAAAATACTTAAGGCCATCTAATCCAACTCCCTTCATCAGGGCAAGAAAACATAATCAAAGCCCTCCTGACAAAGAGCCATCCAGCCATAGATAGATAGATAGATAGATAGATAGATAGATAGATAGATAGATAGATAGATAGATAGATGATAGATAGATAGATAGAGATGATAGATAGATAGATAGATAGATAGATAGATAGATAGATAGATAGATAGATAGATATGATTGACACACACACAGATACAGTATTATAGACTTGAAAGGGACCCATAAAGAAGGACCATGATATGTTGCCTGTTCCAGGGTGGGCAAACCAGACACTCTCCACATCAACACTGACAAAGAAACAGCAAGAAATACTGTTTACCCACAAGCAGAAAGAAATTACATATATTATCGGGGGTTGAGACGGCCGGGGTAGAAATATTTTTAAAATAAAGAAATAAAAATTGTATATAATGATGGCATAGTGGGTTCTTAGTATCCACTGTAGTTTGGTTCCAAGACCCCTATAGATATCAAAATCCATGAATGATCAAGTGCCATTATAGGTAAAGGTAAAGGTAAAGGTGGTCCCCTGACATTAAGTCCAGTCATGTCTGACTCTGGGGTGTGGTGCTCATCTCCATTTCTAAGCCGAAGAGTCAGCGTTGTCAGTAGACACCTCCAAGGTCATGTGGCCGGCATGACTGCATGGAGCGCCGTTACCTTCCCGACAGAGCGCTACCTATTGATCTACTCACATTTGCATGTTTTCGAACTGCTAGGTTGGCAGAAGCTAGGGCTGACAGCGGAAGCTCACGCCGCTCCCCGGAATCGAACCTGCGACCTTTTGATCAACAAGCTCAGCAGCTCAGTGCTTTAACCCACTGTGCCACCGAGTGCCATTATACACATATATAAAATGGCAAAATCAAGGTCTGCTTTTTTTTTTGGACGAAAGGAATATTTTCAAGCCATGGATAGTTGAATTCATCAATGCAGAATTCATGGATATAGTTCAATCAATAATTTAAAACATAAAAAAATTGCCTGTGTAAAAAGGGGAACTTTTTCACTTTACACCAAAGAGAACATACCCTCATCCCTTCAAATCTGGACAAGGCTCGAAGAGGTCTCAGTGCTCTGAGTGTCCTTAGAGATTTGATGGGTCCTAATTCCGAATAGCCCATCCAGTTTGCTGTCAGACTAATGAGGGAGACCTGGTGGGAAAAACAAAAAAAATAGTCACAAATTAACAGAAATAATAGGAGACAAAATAATATTTTTTTATCTTAATCTAATTATCCTCCATTTATACCCCCACTTTGTGGACCCATTCACATTGTACAGCTACAATACTATGATTCCATTTTAACTGTCACAGGATGCATGCTATTGAATGCTTGTATTTGTAGTTAGGGGAGACATTAGAAGAACTTATTGGCTGAGAATTCGAAAATCCCCTCCCTAAATGCAAATTTCAGCGTTCAGTAACTTGATGCCATGGTGGTTAAATGGAATATAGTGCTAAAACTGTGTGGTGTGAAAAGACCTTGATGCGGCTCACAGATCCTTCTCAGAAGGCCTTAAGCATCCCTGACAACAGACCTGTTTGATAGTTGATTCTGTGTACATTCTGCAGATATTTATATGATAAAATGCTAAAAGGGATTCCTTCCAAAACAATTTGCTCCTGGAAACCACAACTTACATCAACAATGAGGAAGTCAAGCCAGCACCAGGCATTGGTGAAATAGACCTTGAATCCGTAGGCTACCCATTTCAGCAACATCTCAATAACAAAAACATATGAGAAGACTTTGTCAGCATACTCCAAGATGGTACGGATTACTGGCCGTTGCTCAATGTAGATGTCTTCAAAAGCCTGGAAGGAAAAAAGAGGCACAGTCGGTTATTGTAAACAGTCCTCAGAAGAGACACAGAGTACAATTTGCAGAGATGGGGTTGAGGGAGACAGAGCAGGGATCTGCCAGCATTAATTTAGATATGTATGTGTTTTAAATGTGCTTCTATGTATTGCACATATGGATGCTACTGTGAATTAGAAATGCTGTGCAGAATGTTTACACCATGAGGCTGTGATTAAGTGAACTTGAGAAAAGTAAGATAAGGTTTGCTCTTTCTGGGAACAGAAGGGAGTAGCCAGTCTCAGCAAGAAAAGATAAGCAGATGTGAAGAGGCTTTCGTTTTGACTAGTTCCTGATTGTAGCTCACTGTAGTAAGACGTGTCTGTTGAATGTGCTTAGTAAACTTAGTTTCTTTTGTAACTCGAAGCCTGCAGAGTCTTTAGTTTGCAACTCAGTGTCTGCTGATCTAGCATTCCTTCCGCTGGGCATTGTCTGAACTCTGACAGGATCCTCAAACTTTTTAAACAGAGGGCCAGGTCACAGTCCCTCAAACTGTTGGGGGGGGGGGGGAGCAGATAATAATTTGAAAAAAAACATGAATGAATTCCTATGCACACTGCACATATCGTATTTGTAGTGCAAAAACACTTAAAAACAATATTTAAAATGAAGAACAATTTAAACAAATATAAACTTATTAGTATTTCAATGGAAAGTGTGGGCCTGCTTTTGGCCGATGAGATAGGATTGTTGTTGTTGTTATTATGTGCTTTCAAGTCGTTTCAGACTTAGGTTGACCCTGAGCAAGGGCTGGGTAAATGACCTTGGAGGGCTGCATCTGGCCCCCGGGCCTTAGTTTGAGGACCCCTGGTATAGAGAGACTATGAACTTGAAGTTCTTTGGAATTCCACATTTCAATTCCACCATTTTTTTTTTACTTCTTATGATGAGAATGAAAATAACAGTTTATTTTACCTGGTGAAAACTTGTGTATTTTGTGCATTTTATTTGGTCAATGAAAGAATCTGTATTTTGTGCATTTTAGTTGGTCAATGAAAGAATCTGTAACCTGCCTTGAGTGGCCGTACGGTTGAGAAAGACGGGCTATAAATGTTGTAAATGAATGAATAAATAAATAAATATCATTGTTTTTGTGTATTTTGTCGTACTTCGCTGCATGACCACCCCAGAATATAGTTGAACGACTAGTTTTGTAGATGTTTGGGATGCGTCTATTTGGATTTCAGGCAAGTATTCAATAAGATCCCCGTGATGCTTTGATTAGAAAACTAATTACATATGGAATAGATAGGGATACTCTCAGATGGATCTGTTACTGATTAGCAAACTGGAAGGTGGTCTGAAGTGAAGTACCTCAGGTTCTATCTGAAAGCCTTTATTCTTCAACATTTTAATCAACGATTTAGATGACAGGGTGTCATCAGAAATTCCTACCAAGCTTGGAGATGACACAAAACTGGGAGGGGTGACTAAAAATACCGGAAGACGGAAATTTTTTTAAAAGGATCTTGATAAATTATAATATTGAGCAGACATGAATAATATTATTTATTTATTTATTTATTTATTTAAAGCATTTATATTCCGCCTTTCTCACCCCGAAGGGGACTCAGGGTGGAGCACAACATATAAACGACAAACATTCAATGCCGAAACATATTAGACCATACACATACAAAAGCATTAAAATCACTTATCTTGATGTTAAAATCCACTAGTTAAAACTGTCCCAACAACCACATCGAATTTGGTTGGCATACTAAGGGTTACTATCGCTACCTCATTACACAGTCCCAAAGTTTCAGTCCCACAGCCACAGCACATTTATCCCAGTAGGGATAAATGCTAAATTCTACATTTAGGCCACGAAAAACAAATGCTTTTCTAGGATGGAGAATACATGGCTCAGCAGTACTCCACAGAAAATGTCCTTGGGAGTATTATTGATCATGAGTTGAACATGAGCTAGCAGTGTGATGCTGCAGCAAAGAAGATGAATCGTATTTTAGCCTGAATTCATAAGTTCAGGGACGTAATACTCCAACTCTATTCTGGCAACCTTATTACATGGGGGAGCCCCCCCTCCCGGTGCCGTTTTCACCAGAAAGTGGCTTGTGCCACTCTGTTATGGCAACGCTTCCCCATCACATGGGAAGAGCGTCGGCCAAACCAGGCAGAAGTGTGCTGGCTCCATTGGAGGCAACACAACACTGGAAGGCCCCTGTGTTTGTAAAGAACTGTCCAAGGACACTCCCACCCCAGTTGGGGGTGGAGCCTCTACCAGAAGTCACACGACGTCACGTGCTTGCAGGCATGGGGCTCCATCCCCGAAGCAGGCTGGACACTTGATTTAGTCAGTGTGATGAGGTCATAAGTTGGCCAGGCCTCATTTGGAGTAATGCAATCAGTTCTGTGTCCCTCAGGATATAGACAAGTTGGAGAAGGTTCAGAGAATGACAACAATGATGATAAGTGATTATTTGAGCATATTATTTGAGCACATTATTTGTGCTGGACCACTCTAACAACCACCATGTCAGACTACACAGAGAAGCCACTGAAATCCATAAGCTTGTGGACAATTTCAAAAGAAAGGAGGAAACCATGAAAATCAACAAAATCTGGCTACCAGTATTAAAAAAAACTCTAAAATTATAACAGCCAAACAACACCTAAACACAGGGTAACTCCAGAGAGGAAACAATCTGGGACAGTTATTCACCTCTCAACAAAAGATTCCCCCAGGCAATAACAAGCCATACCTAAAAACTGTCAGGCCATCAAATGCTAATCAAGGTGGCCAGTTGAAACATTCACACCTAGCTCCAACAGACAAGAGTTCTTTGTCCCACCCTAGATATTTGACAGATATATAAACCCAATTTTCCTAGTTCCAACAGACCTCAAAACCTCTGAGGATGCTTGCCATAGATGCAGGTTATTTATTTATCATGTCATCCGCAACCAGAACATTGTATTACATTTCTAACAGAACAAAACAAACAAACAGATTAAAAAAACCAAAATTTTTGCAAACTTGGTAGCTGATTAAATGTCCTTTGACCAGTATCTGGCCACTTGGAGTGCCTCTGGTGTTGACGCAAGAAGGTCCTCCATTGTGCATATGGCAGGGCTCAGGTTGCATTGCAGCAGGTGATCAGTGGTTTGCTCCTCTCCACACTCGCATGTCGTAGATTCCACTTTGTAGTCCCATTTCTTAAGATTGGCTCTGCATCTCATGGTGCCAGAGCGCAGTCTGTTCAGCACCTTCCAAGTCACCCAGTCTTCTGTGTGCCCAGGGGGGAGTCTCTCATCTGGTATCACCCACGGATTGAGGTGCTGGGTTTGAGCCTGCCACTTTTGAACTCTCGCTTGCTGAGGTGTTCCAGTGAGTGTCTCTGTAGATCTAAGAAAACTATGTCTTGATTTAAGACATTGACGTGCTGGCTCATACCCAAACAAGGGATGAGCTAGAGATGTCTCTGCCTTGGTCCTTTCACTATTGGCTGCCACTTCCCGGCGGATGTCAGGTGGTGCAATACCGGCTAAGCAGTGTAATTTCTCCAGTGGTGTAGGGCGCAGACACCCTGTGATAATGCGGATGCAGGTGAAACCTCAGGAGAGAATGCCTCTAGAACATGGCCATATAGCCTGAAAAAAACCTACAACAACCCAGTGATTCCAGCCATGAAAGCCTTTAACAATTATGATAAGAGATATGGAGAGAAAAAACTTATGAGGGAAGGTTGAAAATGTTGGATGTATTTAGCCTGATGAAGAGAAGACTGAAGAGCCCCTAAGAACTGCCACAGAGAGAACAGGGCTCAGCACAGAGAAGGTACACTCACCAATGCACCGCTGCTAAGGAGGATCATGAAGATGATGAAAGTCTCAAACCAGTTGTGCTCGACAATCTTGAAGCATGTCTTCCGAAGATTCCACCACTTTTCCCCTTTTTCTGTTTTGATGTCAACATATAGGCAAGGGCATCTCTGAACACAGGCTGCAATGGAGAAAAGAAAAGAGAGCTCAACGGCAAGCTCACAGCTTCTCTAGTTGTGGTCCATGTGGTCCATACCAAGGTATGGCAAGTTTCCATTAAACTATGTGAATACCAAAATTACATGGCACAGATAGAGCAGACGTCTCTACTATATATAATAATAACCATATAATGTAAAAGACCACCAGTATTGAAGCGATGGTCCTCCGCCATAAACTCCGCTGGACCAGCCACATTGTCCGGATGCCCAACCACCATCCCCCAAAGCAGTTGCTCTACTCCGAACTCAAGAACGGAAAACGGAATGTTGGTGGGCAGGAAAAGAGATTTAAAGATGGGCTCAAAGCCAACCTTAAAAACTCTGGCATAGACACTGAGAACTAGAAAGACCTGATCCTTGAGTTCTCCAGCTGGAGGTCAGCTGTGACCAACAGTGCTGTAGAATTTGAAGAGGCACGAATGGAGGGTGAAAGAGAGAAACGTGCCAAGAGGAAGGTGCGTCAAGCCACCCTGACCGGGACCGTCTTCCACCTGGAAACCAATGCCCTCACTGCGGGAGAAGATGCAGATCAAGAATAGGACTCCACAGTCACCTACGGATCTACCGCCGGTACACTGATCTTGGAAGACTATCCTCCTCGGACTACGAGGGATCATGTAAGTAAGTAAGTAAGTATAATGTAATAACATGGCACAAATATGGTAGTAGTCCCTGGCACATAGGGGACAAACTGTCCATCTATCACATTAAATAGCCCATCTTAATAGCAATTCTCAGAATCTATGCTCCTAGACTACTCCCACACCTAGATGGGCATGCCAACTTCGTATGCCCATTTTCTCATTTTTGATACTTCTTCGCATGCTCTAAGACTTTGCAATGAAAAAGATGTTCTGGGTCTCAGTTTTGCTACTCAGTGGAGAGCATTATGCACTTTCTTTTCATGTTCTGGGGAGGCTGGCCTCTTCCCAACTTCTCCCTGCTTCCTGCCTGGTGACCAGACCTTCAGTGAAGCATTCCTCTGGCTCATCATTTTCCACCGCCTCCTCGGCCACCACTTCCTCTTCCATAGGATCTGGGGGCTTGTAATCGACAGTACTGCATATGGATGATTCAGTCCCGTCAGACAGAAGCTTCTGCAAAGAGGAAAAGATCAGACAATTAGAAACTCATTACAAGAATTGGGAGCCAAACAGTAAAACGCATTCATCATAAACCTAAGATGTCCTTCCAGACAAAGGGTTCCTGTTGTTATCCATCAAAAGGCATTCAGCAGGTATTAAGAGTTTATGTGTAAAAAGAAAAAAAAAGAAGAGAGAAAGAGAGCTGAAGAAGCTGAAGATTAATCCCGACAAGACAGAGGTCCTCCTGGTCGATCGTAAACTGGATCGGGGTATAGGGTGGCAACCTGTGCTGGACGGGGTTACACTCCCCCTGAAGTCACAGATCCGCAGTTTGGGTGTCCTCCTGGACTCATCACTGTCGCTTGAAGCTCAGGCATCGGCGGTGGCTGGGAGGGTCTTCGCACAATTAAGACTCGTGCGCCAACTGCGACCATACCTCGTGAAGGCGGATCTGGCCAGGATGGTCCATGCCTTAGTCACTTCCAGATTGGACTACTGTAATGCACTCTACATGGGGCTGCCCTTGAAAACGGAAATTTCAATTGGTCCAACGGGCGGCGGCCAGATTGTTAACTGGTGCTCCTTACAGGGAGAGGTCAACCCTCCTGTTTAAGGAGCTCCACTGGCTGCCATTCATTTTCCGGTCCCAATTCAAGGTGCAGGTGCTTACCTACAAAGCCCTAAACGGGTTGGGACCCGCCTACCTGCGTGACCGCATCTCTGTTTACAAATCTACATGATCTCTTCGTTCATCTGGAGAGGCCCTGCTCATGGTCCCACCTGCATCGCAAGCGCGATTGGTGGAAAGAGGGATAGGGCTTTCTCTGTGGTGGCCCCTCAACTCTGGAACTCTCTCCCTAAACATATCAGGCAGGCCCCGTTGCTAGCAATCTTTAGGAGGAGCTTGAAGACGTGGTTGTTCCAGTGTGCCTTTCCAGAATAAGGAAACTCCTAGCATTATGTCCCAATGCACTTTATCAGAGATCTAGGATATCTACATGCCCATCCCCTCCAAACACTCCACCTGTCATGCCCAGCACTTTTAACTTTATTATTACATTTGGCCCTGCCATTGTTTTTAATTGCGTCATTGTGTGTTGTTAATGTTATTGCTTTGTTTTTTTTAGTTATTTTGCTGTTGTTGTTGTTATTGTTTGACTATTGTATTTGGGCTCGGCCTCTTGTAAGCCGCACTGAGTCCTTCGGGAGATGGTAGCAGGGTACAAATAAAGGATTATTATTATTATTATTATTATTATTATTATTATTATTATTATGGCAACTCCAGACTATGACAATGTTTTCTTGGAGAGAAAAAGTTTGCCATGGCCTTCTTCTAATCACTATAAAATGCAAATATAGTTTACTACCTTCTCATGACCAGAGGTTCCCAAACTAACCGCTAGATGCCACCTTAACACAGTCCCATAATCATGGGCTCAGATGATGGCAAAGTCTTGGCTGTCGGCAAAAGCAAGGTGGAGCTGAGCTTCTAAAAGAAGTGATAACTTCAAACCTTCTTGGAAGCCATGGCTATGATAATGCAATTCAGTCTCTCTTTCTCACACTCACATACAGATGACTTTGGTTCACTGTGCCAGTGATAAAAACCAATGCATTCATATAAAAGGGTCTACTATGAACAAGAGAGTAAAATATGAATGATCACAGATATTCCACCAAACCAACAGGTGGAATTTGGTTCCACTCCTGACTGTTTTACCCTATAGACCTCTCCTTGGTGGATTTGTCTAACATTTTGAAATCAGTTTATGCCAGTATCAAAAGATACCCCAGTGGGTCACAGTATTCCTCCCAGGGAAATGAGGAGAAGGAGGTTATGGTCAGCGGAGATTAGGCAACCCAATATTTTCACTTTCCATTTGAAGAAATGTGGGCATTTTATTTAGCTGAAAAATTGAACTTAATGTATTGTCGAAAACTTTCCTGGCTGGAATCACTGGGTTGTTGTGGGTTTTTTGGGCTATATGGCCATGTTCTAGAAGCATTTTCTCCTGACATTTTGCCTGCATCTATGGCAAGCATCCTCAGAGGTTGTGAGGTCAGACCTCACAACCTCTGAGGATGCTTGCCATAGACCTCATAACCTCTGAGGATGCTTGCCATAGATGCAGGAGAAACGTCAGGAGAAAATGCTTCTAGAACATGGTCATATAGACCGAAAAACTTACAACAACCCAATTGAACTCAATGTTTTCTGTGAGTTTTTTTTTTTTTGGGTCTTCTGGGGTGCATCTATGCCATAGAACTAATGCAGTTTGACACCACTTTAGGTGCCATGGTTCACTGCTTTGGAATCATGGGAATCTCTTGCCTTCAGTACCAAGCAGTGTTGCCTCATTAAATTCCAAATCCATGATCTCATAACATTGCATTTTGCTTCTATGGGGACATCTACATTAAACAATTTATGCAGTTTGGCATCTCCTTAACTGTCATAGCTCATTGCTATGAAACCACATGAGTTGGAGTTTTAGGAGGTATTTAGCCTTCTGTACCAATTAATACTGGTGCCTCACTAAGCTACAAATCCCAGGACTCCATAGGATTGAGCCATGGCAGTTTAAGTGGTGTCAAACTGTATTAATTCTGCAGTGTAGAGGCAGTCTTGAGAATTAAGGAAGAGCACAAAACCAAGTTCCAAATGATCATGTGACTTATGGGCCACTGAGATTATCTGATTTTATGCATGCAATAACATCCTGCAGAAACTTACTGGCAGCACATGGGGTGCAGACCCAAAATTAGTAAGAACATCAGCCCTAGCCTTGTCTTACTCAACTGCTGAGTATGCCTGCCCTGTTTGGCATAGGTCTGCCCATGCAAAGCAGGTGAACATAGCATTGAATGAAACATGCAGAATAATCACAGGATGTCTTAAACCTACACCTGTTGATAAACTCTACAAGCTAGCTGGCATTGGCCCTCCTGATGTGTGACGGGAAGTTACGGCTAAATGTGAGATAAATAAGGTTAAACACTGTGAAAGCCACCCACTACATGGCTACCAGTCTCCTCCCAGTAGACTCAAATCAAGGGAAAGCTTTATGAGAACTACCACTCCTCTTGGAGTCCCCCCAGCAACAGCAAGGGTATCCCTCTGGGCAGCTAAACCAGGAAACCCCAACTGGATGCCCCCCCTCGAGGGTCTTCCTCCAGGGGCAAACCAAGAATGGGCAACTTGGAAGTCCCTGAATAGACTCAGAAGTGGAGTGGGCAGATCAAAAGACAACCTGGCAAAATGGCACTACCTAAAAGAATCCCACACCTTGTCTGACCGTGGAGCAGAACAGACAACTCTGCATCTGTATGCTTGTCCACTATGCCCTGCCTCATGTACAGAAGAAGAATTGTTGGAGGCTACAGACAATGCCATTGCTGTTGCCCGTTTTTGGTCAAAAGATATTTAGCCACCTGTGCTCCTTCTATAGTTATCAGTTTTATGGTAATTTATGCAATTTTATTGATACGAAATAAATAAAATCTGATTTTATTTCCTTCAGTATATCACTTGTTTCACAATCAGGGCTACATTTTTAAAAATCCAAAATAATGTTTTGCCCACGTTCCCTGATATTACTATTCTAGGAGGAAAAAGGATTCTGCAAAGCATTGAATGCCTCTGTGTCCTGAACCTCAGGGGCCCTGCTTATCCCCACTCCTACTGCCACCTTCTCACATTTCATCAGGCAATCAGGAGAAGGAAACAGGAGCACGCAGACTTAGAAGGGGTGGATAGGATTCTCTCTGTTTTTCTTGCTCAGCCCCAGAACCTGTTTGTCAAATCAAAAGGGTCTTGGTGCAAATACGAAGAGCTGCTGACTCTCCGCCAGCAAGACACAACACACTCTAATACAGTGTTTCTCTTTTTTAAGAAATTAAAAACCACCTTCTTCTTCAAAGAAGAGATGTGGATGAGAACAATACTTAAGATTTGAGAGGAAATCTGTCCTTTAAAAATGCTTAATCAACAAGCTCCCACAATTTAGCCTATACAGTGTTCCCTCACTTATTGCGGAGGTTCAGTTCCAGGACCACCCGCGATAAGTGAAAATCCGCAAAGTAGGGATGCCATATTAATTTTAATATTTATACATTATTTTATATATTTTATATATTATTTTCATCATCATCATCATCATCATTATTTAATAACTTATTAATCGCCCTCCATCCAAGAATGCTCCAGGCGATTTACAGCTAAATTATAAAAGATAAAATACATACATACAAAAATTAAAAATTAACAGAGATCGAATGCTCTAGTAAAAAGCCAGGTCTTAAGTGCGAGAGTAAAAGGCCCTAAGTCACGCATGGCTCTCATGTAGGGTGGCAAGGAATTCCACAAGGCAGGGGCAGAAATAGAAAAAGCCCTGCGTCTGGTCCTTTCCAAGTGCACTTCTCTAGGACCCGGTATATGGAGTAAGTCACGTTGGGCTGGTCGTTGCGACCTCCGATGATGGGAGAAGGAGAGGCGGTCCCTAAGGTACGATGGACCCTGGCCGTAAAGAATTTTAAAGGTCAGAACTAGCATCTTATACAGGCCACGGTACTCAGTTGGAAGCCAATGTAAATGTTGCAGCACTGGTGTTATATGGCATTTCATGGGCGTTCTTGTGAGTAGCCTGGCTGCTGCATTCTGAACAATACGAAGCTTTCAGGTTGTAGACATCGGAAGGCCCACATACAGGGCGTTGCAATAGTCCAGCCTAGACGTGACCGTGGCATGGATGACAGTTGCCAGAGCCTCGTCAGATAGGTAGGGTGCCAGTTGCCTCGCTTGTCGTAGATGGAAAAAGGCCTGTTTGCTGGCAGCAGCGACCTGAGCTTCCATTGTTAGCTGTGAATACAGGGTGACACCTAAGCTCTTAACAGTGGTCGATGGAGATAGGGCGGCACCATCGAAGGTGGGTAATGGAGGAGTCAGACCTGCCGGGTGGCCATGCCAGAGAATCTCAGTCTTCACCGGGTTCACCTTCAGTCTGCTAACATGTAGCCAGTTTGACAGAGCTTCCAGACAAAGGGTGAAATTGTCTGGAATTGACGTTGCTCCAGGCTCCAGATGCAGAAGGAGTTGGGTATCGTCCGCATATTGTAGCAATCCAGGCTGAAACTAGCAAGGGGTCTAACGTAGATGTTGAAGAGAAGAGGAGAGAGAATTGCACCTTGGGGGACCCCACATAGGAGGGGGGATCTATCGGAGACTTGATCCATGTACTCCACGCGTTGACTCCGGTTCCGGAGAATTTTCTTACCAGTGTTTCCTTACCTGCCTCCCAGCCCATCCCAAGGGCACCTGCCTGCTTCCCTGGCCTCGGCAGACCTCAGCAGATAATAGCAGAGCCTCCGGAGCCATGCAGGCAGCAGCAGGCCAAGGAGGCAGGCCTTCCCCACTGTACCTCAGACCACTGTACTTCCAAGTCCCTGACTTCCACTGGACGTAAATATTTTATATTTTTTATTTATATTTTCAAAAACCCTCGAAACAGTGAGTCCGCTAAAAGTGAACCACGAAGTTGCGAGAGAAAACTATACATCCCTTTGCTAAACTGGCTGCCAACTGTAGTTTGAATTTTAAACCGTTGACACTTTTGGAAATGATGTTAAAGGAGATAAAGTGATAGTGCACACTTTCACAGTGCTCCAAAATCATGGTTGGAAGATAAGACAGTAACAAAAAAGAGAATGCATGCATGTATGATTGATTAAAGACGGGAGGCGAAATAGACAGAGGAGATTATGAGTCCTGAAAATTTGCTGAGCTCTCACAATTGGATCTAGAGTTAATGCTGGTAGAGATCATCTCTGGGCATGTGATGATGAGTCTGGTTACCCTATGTAAAGGCTATTGGGATCTTAAGCCCAAGCACCTGAATTTAAAATCTAAAAGGCAGACAAAGCCCTAATAGGTCCCAAGTACTTTTGTATCAAAGCAGGGAATTCTTGCACAGTCTAAAGCAGTAGTTCTCAACCTGTGGGTCCCCAGGTGTTTTGGCCTACAACTTCCAGGAATCCCAGCCAGTTTACCAGCTGTTAGGATTTCTGGGAGTTGAAGTCCAAAAACATCTGGGAACCCCAGGTTGAGACTGGGAGATTACGCTCTCCTTCTTTGGAGGTAATTTAGTTATGTATTGCTGCATGGGATTAGACTACATGATTCTAGGTACCTGTGTTTCATATTTATGATTCTATATGCCTATTACATTTTTTGGGCGTGTGATGATTTCTCCAAAGCAACTGTGCAGCAATACCATCAATATTACCAGGGGAAGTAGCAGCCAATAGTGAAAGGAGCAAGGCAGTGACATCTCCAGCTCATCCCCTTGTTTGGGTATCAGCCAGCACATCAACGACTTAAATCAAGAAATAGTTTTCTAAGTTCTACAGAGACACTCGCTGGAACACCTCAGCAAGCGAGAGTCCAAAAGTGGCAGGCTCAAACCCAGCACCTCAACCAATGGCTGATACCAAATGAGAGACTCCCTCCTGGGCACACAGAAGACTGGGCGACTTGGAAGGCACTGAACAGACTGCGCTCTGGCACCACGAGATGCAGAGCCAACCTTCAGAAATGGGGCTACAAAGTGGAATCCCCAACATGCGAGTGTGGAGAGGAGCAAACCACTGACCGCCTGCTGCAATGCAACCTGAGCCCTGCTACATGCGCAATGGAGGACCTCCTTGCAGTAACACCGGAAGCACTCCAAGTGGCCAGATACTGGTCAAAGGACATTTAACCAACTACCAAACTCACAAGTTTTGTATTTGTCTGTTTGTTTGCTTTGTTCTGTTAGAAATGTAATATAATGGACTGGTTGCTCTGACACGACAAATAAATACCTCACAAGTTAATTGATGGAAGCCATACCATGTTTTGAAGGAAACTATTTAGGCTATTTGAAGGGCACACTTTCAAAAGAACTTGGAAATTCCAATTGGTCTAGGATGCAGGGATAATAGCAGAGAGACCATGTGGTTCTCTTACAGTTGTGTTGGTTACCATTGAGTGCATGGAATCACATCTTACAGCGTTATCACATAGGGTGGAAGAAGCGTCCTAGGATGGTTCCGCCCAGTTCAAGCATGGAGCTCCATGCTGCCCATCATACGATGTGGGCTGACTTCTGGTGGGGCTCTGTAGGCAAACTGGGGAGGTAGAATGGTGGGATGCTGCCACCACCAACACATAAGCGGCCCTGTGTTCTGTTGGGAAAAACGGGGCTTTGGTGGAGTGATGACACTTTCCTACGTAGGATGGGAAAGTGTCAGCTGGTGGCTGGGGTGCTGGGATTGCTCCAGTGCTGCCCAGATTCACCACGGGAGCTGGTGAATCACGATGCTGGACCTCATCAATGTGTTGAGGTCCACAAAGTGCTCTCCTTCCCCTACCCCTCATATGTCTGTGTGTTTGCATGTTATTTAGTGCCACTTTCAGTAACTTCAGACTGTAGGCACTCAAAGCACCTAGGGATACTTAAAATACAATGTAATATCTCTCTATAAAAATGAAAATATGTATGTTAGTTCCACAAATGCTCCTACGTGATTTGAAGGATCGCAACCAAACTAGGTACACACACACGATCCTACTGAAAATCATAATGATTTGTCTTCCCAAGAAACTTTTTAATTCTGCCATGGAGACATTTGGAAAGGATTATGAGACAAGCTTGCTTTCTGCTGCCCTAGAGACTAGGACTCGGAACAATGGGGACGAGAGACAGGGCCTTCTCAGTGGTGGCCCCTCGGCTGTGGAACGCCCTTCCTAGAGATATTAGATCGCCCCCCTCCCTGTTGACATTTCAGTGGAAAGTGAAGACCTGGTTGTTCGAGCAAACATTTGAATAGGCAGTGTAATGAACATAGGAATATGGAACAAATGAACGATGAGACTGGATCTTGATTTTAACTATGAGACACTAATGAGATATTTTATTGATTCACATTGACTGTTTATTATGCTACCGTTTTAAATTGTTTTTAACTGTTTTATGATGTTTTTGAGCATTGAATTTTGCTATTGTTAACCGCTCTGAGTCGCCCCAGGGCTGGGAAGAGCGGTATACAAATAAATAAATAAATAAATGGCTTCAAACTACAAGAAAGGAGATTCCATCTGAACATTAGGAAGAACTTCCTGACTGTGAGAGCCGTTCAACAGTGGAACTCTCTGTCCCAGAGTGTGGTGGGGGCTCCTTCTTTGGAGGCTTTTAAACAGAGGCTGGATGGCCATCTGTCGAGGGTGCTTTGAATGCAATTTTCCTGCTCCTTGACAGGGGGTTGGACTGGATGGCCCATGAGGTCTCTTCCAATTCTATGATTCTATGTTGGAAAAACCTTTTACTAGACAGAAGACATTTTCAGTCTTATGGCAGATCCATGTGAATGTGTATAGTTTCCAAAACACATCTCAAAATGCTTTCTACTATACATTGCAACAGGAGATGGGTCTCAAAAGGCAAGCAAATCTTTGGATATCTTGTCATCACAGAACCTTCTAGTATTTTCCCAAAAATCCTAACCGCGGGTTTATAATTTGAAAGTGCCTGTAAGAAACCATCTCTAGCTCCAGATTTGTTTTTGGTGGTCCAACACTTACCTTGGTCTCTTTAGTTTCCTTAGTTTCTTCAGCAGTCTCTTCACCTGTGTCAGTTTCATCATAAAGGTCAGATTCCTCGGAGGCTATTGGGACATGTATGGTCAAGTTGGGATTGTTAATAAAGTTCATTTGCTCCAGTTCATCAATGAATGGCTCTTTTTTACGTATCCCATCCATGTAATCAGATCTGAAGGCCTGGCCATTGTTTTTGGATAGGCCATCCATGAATTCTGATTTGAAGCCTTGGCTTTCCTTTTTGGGCATGCCGTCCATGATTTCTGATTTGAAGTCCTGCCCTGTGTCCATATGATTGAGGACAAAATTTTCCTTCTTGCTGTCATCCAGCTCCTCAGCTGGTGGCTCTGTCTTCTCTTTCAATTCTCTGTGAAGCAACAGCAGGACATGTTTCTTTACGTAGTCAATCCCTCGTGTGATTCTGCCAATAGCAATCTGCAAATTGTTCATCTCTCCATCTTCATCAGATCCTGCCAGACTATCAGCACTGAAGGAGCTCAGCAGCAAAGCTAAGAAAAGGTTCAGGACCTGTGGGAACAAAAGCAGATACCATCTCAATTTTCAGAAGTATTATCCCAGTGTTTGGATATGCCACCCCACTCAACAGTCAGCATCCTATAAGAAAGAATATATCAAAAGCTAACAGAAAATGCACTAAAGCAATGTTTCTCAACTTGGGGGTCGGGACCCCTGGGGAGGTCATGAGGGGGTGTCAGAGGGGTCACCAAAGACCATCAGAAAACACAGTATTTTTTGTTCATCATGGGGGTTCTGTGTTGGAAGCCTGACCCAATTTTATCGTTGGTGGGGTTAAGAATGCTTCAGGTGAACTATAAATCCCAGGAACCACAACTCCCAATTGTCAAGTCTCTGTTCCCCAAAACTCCACCAGTGTTCACATTATTGGGTATTCATGCCAAGTTTGGTCCAGATCCATCACTGTTTCAGTCCACAGTGTTCTTTGGATGTAGGTGAACTACAACTCCAAAACTCAAGGTCAATGCCCACCAAACCCTTCCAGTATTTTCTCTTGGTCATAGGAGCTCTGTGTGCTAATTTTGGTTCAACTCTTATCATTTGTGGAGTTCAGAATACGCTTTGATTTTAGGTGAACTATAAATCCCAGCAACTACAACTCCCAAATGACAAAATAACCCCTCCCCCAATATTCAAATTTGGCATATTGGGTATTTGTGTCAAATTTGGTCCAGGGAATGAAAATACATCCTGCATATCAGATATAAACATTACGATTCATAACAGTAGCAAAATTACAGTTATGAAGTAGGAAAAGAAATCATTTTATGGTTGGGGGCCACCACAACACGAGGAACTGTATTCAGGGGTCGCGGCATTAGGAAGGTTGAGAACCACTGCACTAGAGAGTATCATTCAGTATTACATTAAAGAACCACATCTGTACCAATGTATCTCAAATCCTGTCCCAAGAAAATGTGAATTCTGTAGCCAATATATATTATGCAAAACAGAACACATTTGCTTATTTTAAACCATTTATTATGTTTGTATTATGCTCAAAATATCCCAATTAAGGAATGCCTACATATTTACTGAACTTAAGTGGGTCAAATGTGTTCTTTTAATGAAACTTCTCTTTATGTTGTTTAGATATGTTAACAAATTCTTTATAAATTTTAAATTTGCTATACAATACATATATCCTACTTGTCGGCCATACACAGATAAAATATTAAAACAATTGATTAACATATTAAGGTATAATTACCAATTGAAGTAGCAAAATTATCAGCCACTCAAATGCTTTACTGTAAAGAAGTTTTAAGTTTCTTCCCAACACAACTATGATACTTGCATGGACTCAGGGCCATAGCCAGAAAAAATGATGTGTATGTGTGTGAGAGAGAAACTATTTTCATTCATTTTTTACTAATCATGAAGCGTAGGTCCGTAACACAAAATAATTTAAATTCTATGACACATTCTATATTTTTATATAGACTTAATTAAATCACATTTCTATTTTAGTTACGAAGTTTCAAGTCTTTGAGAAAAACCTGAAAATGACTCCTAATCGGTAATTTAGTGCTTACAAAAGAATACCACAATATCTGTTGGAAACACTTCAAAATTGTGTCAATACACTTTGAGAGAAATCAGGCTTCGTCGAAAAACTTCGGTAAACACTCAAGAGCACAAGCCCAGTCGATCTTTCTTGCCCCATTGTATTATGTATGTTTACAAACATTTCAGAGTTGAAAATGACCTTTCCTTTGTAGCTGCAGATTCTGAAAATGTTGCAAAAATCTGAAGAAGTTTCTTCACATTTGGAAAAAAACCTGTCTATCACAGTCATGATATATTTTCAGGGCATTTGATGGTTTTCTGCAGGTGTAATCTTTTTCCATTTTCTACGCCACAGCTCAAACTCTTCCATCATTCAGTCTAAAATTTTGAGAAACTACATAAAACAGTTTAATCTGGTACCTAGTTATTCAAAATATACTTGATAGTTTAGGAGAAATTTTTAAAGCAAATACAAATTATCATAGCTGTTATATACCTGGAAAAATCATAAATTGTATTTAAACTTTAAGTTTTGCTTATGGAGTTTAACCTGGGGAGTCCGATTCTGATGTCATTTTCGGTGAATGCATTATCTTCATGTTGGAAATGTTGATTAAACATCCATGACATTAAAACTCTGTCACTTCCACTATTAAATGGAATATTAAATCCCTCTGGGCAGCTAAACCAGGAAATCCCAAATGGATGGCCCCCCACGAGGGTCTTCCTCCAGGGGCAAAGCAAGCATGGGCAACTTGGAAGTCCCTGAACAGACTCAGAAGCAGAGTGGGCAGATCAAAAGACAACCTGGCAAAAGACTACCTAAAAGAATCCCACACCTTGTGTGACTGTGGAGTGGAACAGACAACTCTGCATCTGTATGCTTGTCCACTATGCCCTGCCTCATGTACAGAGGAAGAATTGTTGGAGGCTACAGGCAATGCTGTTGCCCATTTTTGGTCAAAAAATATTTAGCCGCTTGTGCTCCTTCTATTTTTATCAGTTTTAGACTAATTTATGCAATAAATAAATACCTTCCACTATGTCAACTATTGCTGCTATTGCAATGTAAATTGTCTGAAAGGTAGATAATAATAGTGTGAATAAACTATCAAAATTTGGTTGAGATTGTGCTTGCAGTTCTGGAGGAACTCTAATTTTGCTTCTTGTAGACTTAGTTAATCAGTTAAAATTCATGAGTAAACCATTTTTTTTCCTCTGAAAAATTTCAAGGTGGGGGTTGAATCTCTAAACCACCCCTTTGGCTATGGGTTTGCATGAACTACACACAGATCTATTGCTACGCTTTTCATGAATCATATCTCATATTATTCACTATTATTCTAATACAGTTTGAGCTTTTGCACTATTTGCTCAGAATTGCGTAGCACACACAGGATCATTAGCCCAAGGAGTGATTATACGCGTAGATGCCCAAAACACTCCAGCACTGCAATTCATGTCCTTTTCCACTGATTTAAGAGCACCAGATGTACGTTTCTGGGTCCTAGCAGCCATTCCTTTCAGTTTTTTGAAGGAAAGCCTTGGAGATGATGGTTACTCTGCAGAAAGAAGTATATCCTTATGATGGATTTGCCCACTTCTCATGCAGGGTTTCTTTCTGCCACCCCAGCTCCTTTTAACCTAACTTTGGAGTAAGGGGAAGCCACAAATGTGTAATTTTTTTACCTAAGAAGAAACAATTACCACCAGTTGACTTCTTTGGCACCACAAGGTGAGTCCAGCTTGTTGGACGAACCCATAATCTGAATAATCCTCGGGAATCACAAGAATACAGCTATATCAAAGTTCCAAATTAATCATAAGACCTATCAGAATTTTATTTATTTATTTACAGTATTTATATTTCACCCTTCTCACCCACAGGGGACTCAAGGCTCATACACATGGCATACACATGGCAAACATTCAGTGCCAGAGACACACAACATATATAGATAGACAGACAGAGGCTATTTAACTTCCAGCTTCATGAGGTTATGCTTTGAATTTTAGCCACTGGGGGAGCTGTTGCTTCACCGTCCACTTGTGACACTGATGGAGTACTTCCTCATTCTTTTGATCACTGCTGGAGAATTTTATGGTGTCGTAAATTAGTTAAATTAGCCTCCCCACATAAGTGGTGCCTAAATTTCCTACTTGACAGATGCAACTATCTTTCGGGCTGCAATGCTAGACAAATGGTTAAGAGCTTACTCCAGCCCAAGCTGGCTTCGAACTCATGACCTATTGGTCAGTAGTGATTTTTAATGCGGCTGACTCCCAACCAGCTGCGCCACAAACCTGGTCCTTATTCTTATTTAGATTTGGGAGAAGGGAGAAAGTAGAAAGGAAGCAATAAAATAACTGGTTTATAACCAAAATATTTGTAGCAGATGAGCTTTCTGCTACTCTGTACACTCCAAATGGATGGGACTCTTGGGAGTTGCACCACAACGTATCTGGAGGACTCCTGGTTGGGAAAATTATATTAGAACTAGGGATGGGGAGTATGGACCACACTACTAATCTTTGCAGATCCAATCAGGCCATAAAGTTTTAAATTTTGTATTATTGCTTATATGTGAGTTATATTAATTGTACTGTTTTATTTGCTTGCTGTTTCGTTTTTACTGATATGTTGTTGGGCTTGGCCTCATGTAAGCCGCCCCGAGTCCCCTTGGAGAGATGGTGGTGGGGTATAAATAAATTATTATTATTATTATTATTATTATTATTATTATTATTATTATTATTATTATTCCCACTGCAGCACAGTGTAGAAAAAAACGACCTGTGGGTTTTGTTGTTGGAATAAATTAGCCCCATCACACCTCATTCTAAGAGAGAAATGTTATGTGGAATGTTGGCAGGTTTTCAAAACAGGACAACCTAAGTTCATGATACCTAGGGCTGAATATAAGAAAGCAAGTATAAACAAGCTTGTGTTCTACTGAAATACCAAATGGAAGTATTGATGTCTTTTACCTTAGAGCATATCTAGATTGATTGAAAAGTCCTAGATTTTGTTCCTGTTCTTTCCAATTTTATAATGGTTAAAGCAAGCTGCAGAGCTAGTATAAAAAGTCTATGATTGTACAAAGAGCTGGCAGGAAATATTCTTATCTCCAAAAATAAATCTGAAGGAACAGGAACAAAATCGGGACTTTCTGGTCTTTTTTGTCCATGCAGATCTACCCCTACCAGTGCATTTGGTTATATAATTAACATATTGTCCACACTGATAAATTACAGGATGCATACTTTTCTGACCCGATGGATTGCCTGCACACCATAATATGGGAATTTTGGGGACATGTTTTTCGATCTAAATAGTAAAAGTTTCCAACCTTTAATTAAGCAAAATAATTTATAATAAAAGACATTTCCCAGTCCAGTAAGATACAAGCTTTTCTATCCCTCATGTAAGAGACATCTCTTAGAATAGCAGACACCTGGCAACCCTACCTGCGCACCTTGTG